CCCCCCTATAACACTGTTGATTATTCCGTTTTATATGAATTTCATGTTGTACGAGTCACTTAGATTTTACAAATACGTGTGCCAGGCTGTGAACTGCTCACGTATTTGTTAAATCTAAGTGATTCGTACAACATGGAATTCATATAAAACGGAATAATCAACAGTGTTATAGGGGGGTCGACTTGTATTATTATTTTTTCCTCCTCTAAACATTTATTCATTTTTACTTTCTTTAAAAGAATCTGGTTGTTTTTCGTGTAAAATGAAGTAAAATAAAAGTTCGAAAGTTGTAAAATTTATCGTAAAATGTTATATTTATTTTTAAATAAAATCATTAAATTAATTATGCTAATGGTTTGCAGAAAGGATTATAAGAAAAATATGGTAAATGCATTCGAAGTACTTTAATGTATAAAAATGTGTAGTAATTAATCGAATTATAATGAAAATTTTATGACGTGATTCTAGAATTAACGTATGTAGATTAACTAATTATTTCATAACTAATTCTTAGAAGCGATTAAGTCCATAAGGTATTTAATAGATCAATCAAAATTAACCTTTATCTCTAGTTTTAATGCGATGATAAAGGAACCGTTCGATAGCTCCATTAAAGGAGTCAATTCGATTAATCCTTTAGGCTTTCTCTATAATGAACTAAATTAATGAAGATAATGCATTCTCTAGAAACTTATTTTATATATTTTTATACAATATATAATTTATTTTATGTGTAAAAAAAAAAAATACATTTTATTTGTGTTAGAAAGGTATGGAAATAAGATTCATTCCTCTCTTTATGATCATTATTGCCATGATACTTCTACAGTTTTCTAACTTTAATTACGTACTACAATTTCAATCGGAGTTGTTGTATTCTGTACAAGTATCATCCCAGCTATTCCATTAAATTTAAGCATTGACTTCAAATGCTTTCAAATAACATAAATACTTTTCTGTTTAGCATATTCTTTACTTACTTTTCTATACCTCTATTACACAAGTTTTGAACGAAATTGAATGCTTTTTATTACTATTTTTTTCCTATATTTTTTTTCCTGTAATTTAAAAAAATTTTTTAGCTTTCTATTCACATTTATCTAAATCTGAATTTCATCTTTTATTCATCAATTTGTTCATTTTATTTGCACGAATGCATTATATATTTTTAAAAAAATAAAACAAGTATATTTTCATTATTTAATATAATTATAAACATTTAGAATTGTGATAAAATTATAAATAACATTTTTTTTAAGATGATAATGAACCGTATTTTTGCTACCATTTATTTTAAATCGTCGAATCTTCAATTCTAAATTTCCAATATTTCGGATTTTGTGTGCAGTTTGCAAGCTTTTTTTTGTTTTTTCCTTTTTTTTGCAGGTGCAATTTTGCATTCTGCAAACAAAACTGAAATATTGAAATATGATGGATCGAATGTTGTTGGAGAACTTTGGCTTTTCCCATGTCGACTGTTCTTTAAATTCCAAAATGTTGCTTACTCTTAACATCCTACAGATAGGCCATATATATATATATATATATAATTCCTTATTGAATTACAAATATATAATATATGATATCTGTATAATTTTTGCAAGAATTCTCCTCGAATATATCTGTAGTAATTTCTATACAAGAAACTATTATAAATAGAAGTAAAAGTTGTAAAAAAATAAAATAAATAGGTCATTTGTAACTCTATACATAAACTTTTTTTAATTTACTAATATGAAATGATCTATTAATTAAATTCTACTACTGTATTTAAAAGAAAAAAAAACAAAAAAGTANTTTTTTTTTAAATGTATATACAGTATAGGCCTATATTTATAAAACTGTGAAATTGAATAATGTTTAACTTAATGAATTTGTTATAAAAATTCTTTTAATTAATTAAACAAAATTAATTAAATCTTTAAATATATTTTTCGATTTTTATATTCAGGGATAAAGTATTCCGGTTGGATTTGAATAACGTGAACAGAACTAGATGCGAGGTAAGTTCTTTTATATATATATTTTTCTATCTTTTTCTACTGAAGATCTTCTGACTAAGTTTTCACTTTCAATATAAACCTGTTACGGTTTTTCTGTCATTTTTGGTGATTTTACTAGAATCGCTTCCAACATTTCTTACCCTCCTGTGAAATCACTTTTCCTTGCCACAACCAATTGCTTCATATAACTTCTGAAGAAAGAATTTCCACATTTATACTGCTCCTTTCTTCTTTTCTTTGTCTAGAACCTATAGTTTCTTCTACTAGAGTATTTCGACTCTGTTTTATAAATTTTCTTCTCTTTTTTTTTTGCAAATGTGTCGAACGAAAACTAGAATATCTCATTGAAGAAGACGTGAGATTGGATATTCAGAGAAGTTTTTTGAAAAGAATTTGACAGGATAGTGATGTCAAAATGAGATATGGATCTTTTCCAATGGGTTGTTTTTTTTCCTAAATCCTCTAAATAAAAAAATAATAATAAAAAAAGACAATTTTGGAATAATCTTTGAATCAAAATAAACTCTTCTTATATCTTTGTATTGCCGATAATAAATTTTTATTCTTTTTTTTTTTTGGTTAGTGCAATTTTAGTTTGTTGCAGTTCTTATCTTCGATTTTGTTTAATCAATTTTTTTTTTATCTTGAAAGTAATCCAGNAAGTAGAAAATATAAGAGTAAATTTTAAGAAAAATATAGGTCATATTTTTTTGATTTTCTAAATTCACTTTTTCAAATAACAAACTCAAAGTTTGTTATAAACTTTTCAATTTTTTCCCCCTTTTTTTCCAAAGTGGAAATTTGTTTTTGGATCAAACACACTTACATTTTCTGAAAACAGATTCTGACTCTGCAACTTAATTTTTTTTTTTTTTTCTAAAGGTAGGTTACATTATTGATTCTATATAAAAAATTCATGTTTATAGCACATCATAGTTTAGTATAGTGTATAAAACGAGTTGATTATATCCATTTACAGTAACATGAACGAAAGTCGAGTTTCGATTTCCTGTGCTAATCAGTTAATAATTAATCTTCTGTTTTCCTATTTAATTTAATAACCTTGTAAGTTATATTCGAGTTACAAATTTGCATTATAATTATGATAAATTACTCAGTTTTAGAAATTTTCTTGAAACTTATCTGTTAAGTAAGCCGATTTAAATAAAGTATATTTTGCAAAATTGGAAAATTCTTTCTTTCTTTATATATACTTTTAATAGCCATAATCTGACAATAATTTCTGAAATTAGCATTGCTGTAATTTAAATTCGAGTGTATTTATAATTACTCTGCTGTGAATTTCTATCGATTTTTACACGTAATTCTTCATTTAAATATTATAAATAAATGAAAAAATCTTATTTATTCACCTAAACAATATATAGTTTTGATGCTTCGTGATATATTTTAACTCAGTTGAAAAGAGTATGTGTACATATATATATATATATGCTCCTTTCTATCTGTGTAGAAATAAATACTCGTATACAAATATTATTCCTATATTATTTGTCTATAAAGGGTATAAATCATCATCATCATCATCATCATCATATTCAACCATTATCAGTCCACTGCTGGATGAAACTCTCTGATCATACTCCACATCTGCCTGTCACGAGCTTTACGAGCTCTTCAGTTTGCATGATTTCCTCTCTGTTTGTCTATACATTCTTATTTTATATGCCTATATATTATATATATATATATATATATAAATACAAATACAATGATAGAGGTAAATATCCCAACTTATACTGTACATAGGTATACGTTTAATAAATGTTTGTATAAATTAGAAATAACTATAAAAATGTATATTTTAAATATAAAATTATCGAGTGTTTTATTAACTAATTATTTCATAACTAATTCTTAGAAGCGATTAAGTCCATAAGGTATTTAATAGATCAATCAAAATTAACCTTTATCTCTAGTTTTAATGCGATGATAAAGGAACCGTTCGATAGCTCCATTAAAGGAGTCAATTCGATTAATCCTTTAGGCTTTCTCTATAATGAACTAAATTAATGAAGATAATGCATTCTCTAGAAACTTATTTTATATATTTTTATACAATATATAATTTATTTTATGTGTAAAAAAAAAAAATACATTTTATTTGTGTTAGAAAGGTAATGATGATTGTTTCTTGTCCCTTGTTGGTAAAGAAATGGTGTCATTTCTAAGTTATCGATTAGTGTAGACAGTTCAATGAAAGAAAGAACATGTAGAAAACAAAACATTGGAAAGGGCTTAAGAGACAAAACATCAGTAAACAGAAATAGTTTTTGTACAACAATTCCAGAGTTATTACATTTAATGATGAAAAGTTCTTTACCTTCTTTTTTTTCTTAAAAAAAAAAATATTGTATCCATTAGAATGATATATTTTTATTTAGTAAAAAGAGATAAATAACTACAAAACATTTACTTAATGCTTACTTATTTATCGATGGTTTTGTTAAATCGATAATATTTAATTATAAAATGTTAAATAATTTAACATTTTATAATTAAATATCATAAAGTATTAAATAATTATTAAATTTTTTTTTTCGAATTTTCTCTTTGTTTAAATATTTTTAAAAAAATAGTTATTTAATATTAAAAACTATAATAAATAAACATCTTATCTCATTTAAATTTCTTTCATATATCCATTTAATGAAGCTTTGTAAATAT